AGCAGTACAAAACAGCGCGGCATATGCTCGAGAGCTATTCCCGGCACGCACAGTCGCACAGCTCCGTGGCCGACTCGATAGATTTGCACAGTGGCAGACATCGAGAGTAGCCCGACAGACTCTGGGCGCTGATCGGTAATGGATTGCACAGTGGCAATGCTCGAGATTGCAGCGGGCAAATCTGGCCGATTTCTAGAGTTTCGAACAGGCGCAATCTTAATGAATATACGCAGCGAGCAATATTGAAATACAACACGGACCGTATTGCTTTAGGCGCGAGGAATTGCGGAAGAGTTATGCGCGAACATTCATCACCATTGAATTACATCGATGTATTAAATTACATGTCTGAGTAATATTGATTATTTGGTAAAGGTTTATCATAGTTGAATGCCAGCGGCATCTTGTGGATCATGGATGTGTCGGCGCATGCGTGAGAACTGGCCGATCGTAGACGAATGTTTTTTAGGTTCGTAGGTTCGACGGATATATTCTTTACGTTCGTATCTGACTTTATCTACTACAATGTTGTCATTTCGATGTCAGGAAGTGTCATAATAATAGGGGTCTCCAATCGTATAGTCTTATTATAGTCTAATTGTATTATAGGGTCTAGTATTATAACGTCTGATATAATATAAGTCTAATATTAAGACTATATTATACGAGTGATTCTAATAATTACGGTCTATATTACTACGGTCTATATACGGTCTAATATTCTGTAGATAGTCCTATAGTTAGTACAGAACTATATTATAGTCTATATTTATAGTGTATTGATTAAATAGTCGCGTTATATTCTGTCTAGTATTATAGTCTATATGTATAGACTTCCTAGCCGACGCGCTATATTATACACAGTATTCTTAACTATACGCGGTCTATATTAATAGTCTATATTACGTACTATAATCTAGATATCTATATCCCTCATATCGGTATCCTATAATGTATCACCGGTCCACGTCTATATTATGGAGCGTCCGAGACTCATGGATTATCACACGTGCCGCTCAATTATTATCACGTCTAGATTATAGTCTATATTATAGTTTTAAGTATTATCAACGTACTATATTGCAAGTGCTATAATTATAGGTCTACTAAATTACGGTCTATATTATAAGTCTAGTATTATGTTCGTATATGCATTCAGTAGAGTCCTATATTGAATACTTCTACTATTTTTATAAGGTCTAGTAACTATATAGTAACTGTATTCGAATAGTTATAGGAATTATACGTGCATATCATATATGTCTAAATGAGGATTATACCAGGACGTGGACGAGCATACTCTCAAGATCGACGTTTAGTAATTATAGTCTAATATTACCTGAGATCTACTATTAACCTCACACACACACACACTATACTCTCGATACGCTATCTATATCTAGTAGGTCTATATACTAGGTCTAATTAATGAAAGATTTGATATGTTTATATTATGGTCTACTATTCAGGTCTAATACTTATAGTCCTATATTATCAGTCTATCTTATAGGTCTATAGTTAATAAGTCAAGTATTATAGTCTATATTATACACGTCATATATTATAGTTCTATATTTGATAGTCACTATTATACGTCTATATGTATAGTCTATATTAACGACGTCTATACTTATCAGTCTATATGATATAGGTCATATTCTAATATCTAGGTATTCATAAGTCGTATATATATAGTTTTAATATTATAGTCTATATTATGTCTATATTATAGTCTATATATTATAGTCTATATTATATGTCTAGTAATTATAAGTCTATATTAGTACGTCTACTATTATAGTCTATATTATAGCTATATTATAGTTTATTATTATAGTCCTAATATTATCAGTCCCTATATTATAGTCTATAATTATCAGTCATTTATAACTAAGTCTATATTAATAAGTCTAATATTATAAGTGCCTATAATTACTATCTAATATTAATAGTCTATATTAACGCGCCGTCTATATAAGTCTATTATTATAAGTCTATATTATAGATCTAGTATTGATTAAGTCCTATATTATAGGTGCTATATTATAGTCATAATATTATAACGTCTATATTAATCAGTGCTATATTATAGTTCTAATTATAGTCTATATTATAGTCTACTATTAATAAGGATCTATATTATAGTCTGAATAGTATATCGTCTATATTACGGTCTATCATTATAGTCTAATGACTATAGTCTATATAATACGGTCTATATTAGGTGAGTCTATTATTAATAGAGTCTAATAATTACATAGTCTACTGATTAATAGTGACTATACTTATGAGTCTATATTATAGTCATATATTATGAGTCTATATTATGAGTCTATTACTTAAATAGTCCTATAATTATAAGTCTATATTAATAGTCATAGGGTATATAGTCTAGGGATAGACTATAATATAGACCGTAATATAGAATACTGTATAATATAGTCTATAATATAGACTATAATATAGACTATAATATAGACTATAATATAGACTATAATATAGACCGTAATATAGACTATAATATAGACTATAATATAGACTATAATATAGACTATAATATAGACTATAATATAGACTATAATGGAGACTATATTATGACACTCCTGATGAAATGACAACATGTGTAGATAAATAAACAGTAAAAAGAAAATCGGAAACGAAAAAAAACATTGCTACGACGGAGTTTCACGATGCGCCGACATCAATCCACAATGCGCTGGATTAATATATAAATGAAATAATATTATAGAATGTAATATAATGTAATAATGGTATGAATGTTGCGCATAATCTTCCGATCCGTGTTATTTCAATATTGCGCTGCGAATTCTTAAGATTGCGCTGTGAAATCTAGCAATCGGCAGATTGCGCTGCAATCTCGAGATTGCACTGTGCAATCTACCGATCGGCAGACTGTGCGGCAATCTCGAGATTGCACTGTGCAATCTACCGATCGGCAGACTGCGCTGCAATCTCGAGATTGTACTGTGCAATCTACCGATCGGCAGCATTCTTGCGCAGTCTAAAGTATGAACTCCTCTTCCACAAGCTGAAGTAGGAATTATTTGCTTGTGGTTACCTGTGGAGCCTTGCGCAATCTCGAGTTTATAAAAATGCGCAGCGCAATCTTAAGATGGCACGGATCGGGAGATTGCGCGAAATATTAATACTATGGCAGCCATGTGTGTGTGTGTGCGTGCGTGCGTGCGTGTGTGTGTGTGTGTGCGCGTGCGCGTATGTGTGTGTGTGTGTGTGTGTGTGTGTGTGTGTGTGTGTGTGCGTGCGTGTGTGAAAGAAAAAGATATATTGATATATAGATAGATGAATGGATGTATGGATTAAAAGATGGATGGATGGATGGATGAATGGATGGATGGACGGACGGACGGATGGACGGATGGATGAATTGATGGAATGATGTATGAATGGTTGGTTGGACGGGTGAATTGATGGAATGATGGATGGATGGTTGGATTGACGAATGGACTAATGGAC